TATATGTATATGGGTATGGTTTTCAGCAAGGCTATAGTCATTATAATTATATAGATATGCATTTTTGTTGCAGTGGTTTTGCAATCGTTGTTTTTGTAGGTGTGGAGCCAAGACGTCGGGTGTTTTGTCTTGTGTTTTCTCAACATATATTTCACATATCTTCTAATCTCTCTTTCACTCTTTCTCATTATCCATCCATTTTCTGTACACGCCTCTTCCTTTTCAGGGTTGCATGGGTCACTGGTGCCCATATCCAGCAGTCACAGTGGGAGGGTCGGGGTACACCCTGGACAGGTCGCAAGTCCATCACAGGGCCACACATAGAGACAAACGAGACAAACAACCATTCACTCTCTCACTCACACCTACAGTAGGGACAATTTAGAGTTATCAATTAACCTAACAGTCATGTTTTTGGTCTGTGGGAGGAAGCCRGAGTACCYRGAGAGAACCCACGCATGCATGGAGAGAACATGCAAACTCAAAGGTCCCCGGACTGGGATTTGAACCGGTGACCTTCTTACTGAGAAGCATCAGCTCTACCAACTGAGCCACTGTGCCGCTTCTTTCTCATTACAGTTCACTTTTTTCTTTCTCTTTCTTTTTCTCCTATTAAAAAAAAAGCCACTGATGATGAAGAAGCTAAGATACTAATATTCAGATATTCAGTTCTGCTTTCTACTGAAGTGGCAAAAAAAAGATGTTTATTGTAATTTTTGAGAGCTTGAATAAAATCCTTTGAATGGTTCATGAGGTAATTTGCTCATGCCTTTTGGATCTGGGGACCCCTTACAAGGGGGGAAAAAAATCCAGGGACCCCCTCATAAAACCACATGTTGTTTTAAAGGATAATTTATTGTCATTTCAACCCCTAAATGCCATGGAAATATATATTTTTATTAAGTTTATTATGTTTGTTTTATTAGTTCAGTGTTCTCCATGCATGTTTAAAAATAAAAACCAAATTAACAGTTTAGTGAAATTTTTTGAGGACTCCCAATATACCTCTAGCGGACCACTGGGGGTCCTGGGACCCTAGTTTGAGAACCTCTGGCTTAGAACAGGATTTCATTAACAACTCCTCCTAAATTTGGTTTTAATTTGGAGCTATGTTGCTGGCATTCAGTTTGATTGTTTACATGTCATTCCCACTGAAGGCAACCTATCGTACATGTTTTTATTTTTATTTTTTTTGGGGGGGGGGGKGATGYGCTTTTATAATAATTTAGGACTGTTAGCTCACACGTTTAGGATTATTTACAAAAAGAAAAYCCCAATTTAGACATAAAACAAACCGCGTATAATCTGATTTTAAATGAAGTACCATCGCTCAGAAGTTCCAAAAAGTGAGGTGCAGATCGAGTGCGAATAAATTCAGATGTGAGCTCAGTCATGGTGAGATCATCCAGGGTTTCCTGACCTCCATACAGCGTGTGATTCAGGAGCAGTACCCCACATTCTGCACAGCAGCCTCTYGACAGGCGTTCCCATGGTAACTCCAGTAGGTCAACCAATGAGAAGAGGGGGCTGGGCAGCAGGGAGGATGGRGAAAGGTGGGGTTTGTGTGTTTGTGCGTGTGCTAACACAGATTCTGTGATGTGATTGGAGTTTAATTGGTGCAGTAAAAATGATACGAATGTGAAACCATCTGGAAAAATACCTGCAACCTTCAGCCCTAACCGCTGTGCTGCTGTGTCATCCTCATTGATTTACCTCTAAGGGGAAAAAATGATATAGATCTTTTTTTTCAGCTGTTTTTCCTCCAAACAAATGGTTATTTCCTCCAGCAGTACGTTACGGTAACACCACTGTTTTTCCTCATTCTTGTGTCATTCGTTTCCTTTTGTGCTTCACTTTTCACGCTCCCCGAGTTCGACGCTGGTAATTTTCCATCCTGTCTATAATTCATCAACAGACCCAACTTTTGGCTCGGTGAACATAATCTGCCACTCCCTAAATGTAACAGTGACCTGAAAAGTGTTCAAGAAGTACAGGTTCATCTTTAGTTTTCCCACTGATGCCGAACCTGTGTGCAGTGATGAGGTCATACAACATGTACGAGCTTCCCTGTTGTGACAAATGGAGATGTTGAGAACAGAACAGGAAATTAAGGCAACAAATAAATATACAACATGAATCACATGAGAAACGAACAGCATTGATGGGAAAAAGATCTACTTAAAATAAATTTGAAATCAGTGCAAAAGCTATTCCTAAACGTAAACAGGAGCTGTTAGAGTGGATTCAAACAAAAGAGATCATACTCTACAAAGATCCTTTATTACAAACATCTGGACAAGTTCATTATTAATATTGTTGTTTTGCTGAAGGACARTAGTTTCAGGTCAAATGGTTATTTCTTTCACCATCAGCATAGAAATGGAGCAGCATGTAGTTTAAAGCCCTGTTAGCGTCGAAGTAAAGAAACATGAAATATCAGAACAAAGTAAAACCAGCACAACCAGTTTCCAGAAACAGAAAAATAAATTTACATTCCCACATAACAAAAGGGTTTTTCGCGTGAAAGCCAGTGACTGACGAAAGATGTCAAAGTTGAAACAAAAGACTGATATGATATGATAGACCAAATGTTCACGCCTTCTCTTGTTCTAGGGAATTGAACTGAGCAGGATCCGGTTAACTGGAGCTAAACTTCTTTATTTAAAGCACATCAAGACTTGAAAAGGGATTTCAGTTTCATGTTTTAGAGATATTTCACAAATCAAAGTCAACTCTTTACCTGAAACCTTTTTGGTTTTTCTTGATAACAGAAGCAGATTTTTAATTCCAGCTATAAAAAGCTCATGATAATGCAAAACTATAAAGACGAAGGAAAATTCCAAGCAGCTTAAGATGACGCTCATGTTGTTAATGATTGTCTAAACTATTTCAACATACGTTCTTAGTGAAGGTTACTTTTTCAGAGAATTCTCAAACACAGGAAAGCACAGCACTGGACCTGAGGACACATTAAAGTTCTTCTCAGTTAGACATAATAAATATAAATATAAGTGCTACTGTTGCTGCTCACAAAGCAGCTAACAGCAGTCTGTATTGTGCAGAGAAATCTGTAAAACTACCTGTCAAAAAGGCACCAAAAACAAGTGAATAAGTGCTTCAAGTTTTGTTCTAAACTTATCTGGAAAATTATTTTAAAAACATCCCAGAAAGTGATTCTATTAGTGATAAATATTGTGTACATGTAGCCAGAGGACAAGAGATCACAGTAAAAACATGAAGCGTATTTTTTTTTTTATCAAACCATCACTAAACAACCTTCTGTTGGTTTAAGTTTTATAATAAGCACAGACAGGCTTATTATAAAACTTCAGAGTCAAAGCTGGGCTAATGCTGGCTACTTTTGTTTTCAATAAATCAGATTTTTAACTCCCTAATTTATCAGAAAAAAAGAGTTTTGAAATGTTTTTATCTGATTAAAAGAAATAAGTAACCATTTACTGCATCATATACTTTTAACAGTTGTGCACACGTTTGCAAAACAAAAGCAGAACATTTCACTCTGACACCGTGGCTGCGAAGAACTGGAGAAAATTACACTCATAAAGGTCTAAAGCATGAGGCCACCTGGGCACACACACACACACAGATATGGCTTAAATATTCACTCTCATCAAACCAGGCAACTAAATAAAACAGTCACACCAGATTCATGTGCATTTAAATAAAACAAAAACACAACAGAACAGTTTTAAGTAACACTAACTTTGTTTTTTTTAGACTATGAGCCTAAAAATTCCAGTGAAATCTCAATCAGCCCCAGTTTCAGGTTCACTTTGTCCACCGCCCATTCAGCTTGCTGGAGCCTGAATATCCACAGTGATAAAAGTGTACAATTTATCTTTGACAATTTCCTTTACTGTGTATTTAAGGGAATTAATCCCGTCTTCTTTCATAGTCCGCTTAGTGTGGCCGAGCTTGTCGGGATTCTTTGGATTCGGCTCGTTGTGCAGGTCTCTTTGGTGCTTGATCATCTTGTATTTTCCAGTTTTCAAATCCGGTCGAGACACCTGCATCCCGGCGTAGACGATCCGCCGGTAAATGTCGTCGTCCTCGCCGCCCCAGCCCCAGTAGGAGTTCGGGAAGCCGTTGATCTTCACAAACTGCTCTTTGGACAGCGACGAGACCCCGCCGAAGAAGGTCGTGTAGGGTAGGTGGAAGTTAAATTTGTCCATGCCCACGGCCAAGTGTCTCGGTTGGTTGAAGCATCTGTAGAGGTTGCGGTCGTCGAGGGGTACCAGGTCTATGTCAGAGAAAACGAAGCACTCGTAGTCATAGTCCTTCTGGGCTTCCATGTAGCCGACGTTCATCAGCTTGGCCCGGTTGAACACCCCGTCCCCATCCTGGTTGATGACGTATACGCCATAATCCAACTGCTGTCGGATCAGGATGGGATGCAGGTAGAAAAGCCAGTGTATCAGGTGCTCATGACGATTTCGAAACGGGATGATGACTGCCACCTGAAAAAAATGAAAATAACTTCGTTATTGTGGCTGAAAAATTAGAGATGACCATTTCATCAAGATAGTTGTGACAAAACACATCTTTTAAAAGGATGCCTAAACTTTTTTTCAGAGAAAAGTGGTCACAGAGCACATCTTTACTAAATATTTTTAATAAAGTATACATAATAAAACACACCCAGGAGTTGTTTTGTGTCTGGTTTACTGAAGTCACAAGTGGCAGTTGTACAACAATAACGCTCAGATGACATTTTATTCCGGTTCAATATATGGTTTAGTGTATGTGACAATTATTTTTGAGATTGCAGCGATCAAAAGTTCACACAGYGGATGTATAGTAATCATTAAAAAGTAAAAGATATTTCAGTGTGAAATGTTTTCTACATGGAAATTTTCCTAAAAAAGCGTAGACTCTAAAGTGTATTTCTAAGGCCGGCTAGCGGTACAATCTGATCGCACCAATGCCAAAAAAAGTGACCCATAACCAAA